GCAGGTCAGGATTGTTCAACAACTTCTTAATCTCTGCTGAATCCTTGTTAAGATCGCCATTTTTGGAAGTATCTGACGATGCAGATTGTCCGTTGGTGACTCCATTTTGGGAGACTCCTGAATCCGATCCCCCTTTCGCATTGCCCGCCAGTGTACCACCGACAGCTCCTCCAATCACTGCCGCTAAAATTAAAAATCCAACCAGTAAAGCAATCCATAGTCTCATCTTTTTGTTACCCCCCGGTGGTTTCTTCAACCATTCGTTTTTTTCCACACTAAGATCATAAGTATCCGTCCCAGTATATCCGTTTTGTGCATTTGTAACATCATTGTATTGTATATTTTCCCCATTCGCATTCGTATTCTTCTTTCCAACAAGACCACCCAAGGCTCCCACAACACCGCCAGCCGCTATAGCTTTTCCACCCGGAGGTGTTCGTGATCCGCTATCTGACATTTTATTCAAACTCAAGACAGAAGATCTATTAACGCGTCTATATCCCAAACCGTCGTCTCCGTCGTCTGCAATTGTACTCGGGTCAAATTCAACCAGTTCCGGGTCAATTGCCCTTGAATATCGATTATATGGGTAAGGAGAATCCGTGTAAGGATCTAAAGGAGGATTTCGACCAGAAATAGTCGAACGTGAAGAAGGAGTTGACATTCCGGTTGGGAACGCAGCCGCATTTAAAGGAGTCAGAGATGATGTTGATGCATCTTGTCGTGGAAACGGGCGTTGGAATGGAGACTCTTGGTATGAAGGTTGTGTTGGATCATATCCCGGGGCATGTCTTGTGGCTTCCACACCACCTTCCCTGGCATTTGAATTTGCGACACTCATAGTAACGCCGTTTCTACCACCCGCAGCTTGATCACTAAAATTACCTGGACCCGACGTAACGTTTGTGTTATTGTTTTGATTGCGTATTCTAGATTCCTGACTCGATTGTGACGACCGATGTGGTGGAGGAATTGGTGGACTATCTATTATCGGACTCACAGGTTCCACTTCCCCATAGTTTTCTCGTGAATGTAACAATGAAGCAGAATTTGACATTCCAATCTGTTGGTTATGTGATTCTTGAGCTTGCAATGAATTTGGTGGTGAGGCGAAGTTGAAAGGATTACGCGGTTGCGATTGAGGTGGTGGTGGTAAAGGATATCTTGGTGGAGATGTTGGTGGAGATACGAGTGAAGAGGAATCTTGAGGATTAAGATGAATATCTTCGAAAGAATATCGTGACATTATGAGGAAAGAAAGAAAGAAGAGGAGAAGAGGAGAGACTGGGAAGATGAGAGTATCTTGAAACCGAATTGTAGCTCGTTTTTCGTTTCGGACGATCTTTTACTCTATTCCAACTAATAGTAGGCACTCGTAGATTGAGAGGAATCCCACTTGTTTTTTTTGGGGAAAGGGAGGGGAGGGGGGCAGTGGTCGACGGGTCGAATAGGATTTTGCACTGGCTCTGGGTCGGATTCTGGCAATGGTATTTGGGAGGTTTGATTTATTATGTGGGACGACTTGAGTTTTCTGGTGGTGATGGTGGATTGAACTAAGAATGGTATAATGGTACTAAGAGGTGTTTTGATGTATTGCTTCGATTCTTATCGATCAAATGTGAAAGCGCAAAGCAAGGATGGCGGAAAGCTTATTTGTCGAGAATGGAGGGCGATACGATGGATGGGATGGGATGGGGATGGATAATAATGATCATAATACGAGAATTTGAAAGTTATGAATTGCCGTTTGTTCTGAGAGGGATGGCGAGGGCGAGAGAGGGAGAGAGAGAGAGAGAGGAAGAATTGTGAAGTTTGAAAATTCCAATCCTCAGTCAAATCAATCAATACCTTCTTCGACGGTGCAATAATAATACCTACTTTCCCACTTCCCAATAGAAAAGCCAACTACGAAAAGAACAAAATCCAAAACAGGAACAGAACAGGAACAGGAACAGAAACAAAATAAAACAAAAATAAACAATCCACGCCCCCAAAATCATGAGGCTGTATTTTATATAACTTTCACCACAATACAGAGTATATCATATCACATCACATCCCCAACCATCTTTCCCGCATCATAATCATACTTCCTCTCCTCCAATAACATCCGTGTCTCCACCCCTTCAACTTAAAAAAATAAAACCACCCACCAACACGAGCTTCCCGAGCTTCCCTCCCTCTTTCCTTCCCACCAAGTTCCTGCCAACCTCCAACCTCCAACCTCCAACCTCCAGACCCAACTTTTCCACGTCCTCTCACATCTCTCCCACAATTGGCTAGAAGCCGCGTGTGTGTACTGTACGAGGCTAGTAACTCAACTTCTCTGCACAGTGCACAGTGCAGTGCAAAGTAAAAGAAGAAAAAGACGAAGCTAGAGTGGAGTATCTGAGTACTCGGTACCTTTTGAAAGATAGCTAAATGCAAAGTATAACAGGGAACTTCTTCAACTAGCCTTGCAAGTCTTTGTTCACATCCTCCAATCCTTCCGCCCCCATCAACGCTGAGCCTGTATGGTATGTCTATCTATCTACTGGTGATGGATTAACCTTCTTTGGTTGGTTGACTGAGAGATCCATTCCATTACTATCCAAGCACACTATCTAGGTACTCACTAATAGTTACATTTTTAGATACCAGACTACAACTACCATGTAGACACTAGCGAGGAACAAATCCGGATGTAGGTAGATGGATATCTAGGTACTGTATTCCTGAATACATATTCAAATCTATCCACAGATTTAATACAGCCACCGAAAGACGATACATATAAACCCATCCATCTATCCAACAAAATAAAAGATTCTCACCATCCACATCCACATCCTTCTCACTCTCTTCACACCCCCAAACAACTAAACTCATCAATCGACATACTTTCACAATCTCCCCCAAAGAGCTCTACCACGCCCCAACCACACAATCCATACCCACCACAAAAACAAGCTCGAAAGCAAGTCACCCAGCCACTCTCAGCATCAGGGGTATACATCGTAGTATACACAAGTTACAATATGAGTACCCAGTCCAGTCTCACAATCCCATTGCACACTAATTACTACTTTGTACTCCGTAGATACATACCTAGGTAGTGGATCCCGCCGAACAGAACCAGCCAATCCCCATGGACATCAAAAGCAAGCAAGCAAGCAGGTGAAAGAAAAAGAAGAAAAACCTTGGTTTGACCTACTTCGCCTACTCCGTATTTCCTTATCCCTCGCAAGAAAATAAATTAAAAATGATGACATTTGTTTCAGAGGCGTGAGAGAGGTGAGTTATATTCGGTGTTTTGTTATATTGTGAGATAATGGTGAGTATAATTATTATATATATATATGTAAATCTATCTTCATTCTATATCTAAACATATAAATACACATATACACATTGACATTTGAGAAATCGCGATCTGGGTGCTGGTACAAAGTCAAACATGCATATGTCAAATGCATAGGTACATATTTATGGATCTCCATACCATATCAAAGTAGCACGTGGTAGATAGATAGATACAACTTGGAGAGATAGATATCTATCTACCTACCTAGCTAACATCTCCTCTCCTATAGACAAAAAAAGAAAAGCCACCCATCGATTCATCAATCTATTCTTCCCTTCAACTTTTCTAATCCAGACTCCAAATATGTATTCAGAACTGTGGGATTAATACTCGAGATAGGTATTCTACTTTACTCACTTCCTTCTCTCATTCTTCATACGTACTAGGTACTTATTATTCCCGTTCTTTATACCCACTCAGTCACTCTACTTTCTAAGTAATGAAAGTAAGCGAAGATCCGATAGGTATCTAATAGATATCACTCAATCGATTATCTACTATTTACTACCTACTATCTACTATAATAATATTACTTATTATCTACTACTTATTACCTACTATTTATTACCTATTACTTATTACCTACTACTTATTACCTATTTACTATCTACTATCTACTACTATTACCTACTATAGATTTTTCCCTCCTTCTCCTCCTTCTCCTTCTCCCCCTACTATCCATACTCAGTATATACTCTCACTACCTATTCACATATATCAATACATCCAAATAAATAAAGATATACAAAAACCATTTATTCATTTACTATCTACTACCTATTATCTATTACCTATTACCTACTACCTACTACTTAGTATATACTTACTACCTACTACTTACTATCTATTATCTACTATCTACTACCTATTACTTACTACCACCCACTAACCATCCATTCATCCATCCATCCATCCACATACCCCGCAAATACAACACCACACCCACCTAAACCAGATACCTCCCCTACCCTACCTCGCTACATACCAATATCATATCGTAGAAATGAGGGGAACCAATCCCATAATGTAAACACACTTTATATTTTACATTTCACATAACATACCCAGCTATCCATCTACCGGTATCCATCCATCTAGTACCATACCTTACTACTTATATACCTAGTAATATCAATCAATCATCATCGCCTCCCTACCGATTGATACCTATGTACCTCATATGATATAACAAGACAGAACGTGATATATACCCACTAGGTAGGTAGGTAATCACCTCATCAATCTACAAATCCATCATTCCATTCCATTTCAAATACCTGCCTCACCTCAATCCCAATCCCAATCCCAATCCCAATCCCAATCCCAATAGAAATCACCCAAACCCAAATCATCCATTCATAATCCAACCCTCTCCATTCCATCTCTTCCATTCCATCTCTCCATTCATAATCCTCTCCATCTCTTCCAAGTTCCTCTCACCCCCACCCCACTCCACTCCACTCCATAAAAATCAATTCAAGCAATCGAACGAACCCCTCCTTTCCTCCCCTCCTCCCCGCATCCAAAGAAGAAAATCTACATCTACGATATCTATCTACCTAGGTATTCCTCAACATCACACATCATATCACATCACATCATACACCCCGCAAACATCTACATACATAAATACATACATACATACATAATATTCATCATGACCACCCAAGCCAAAGCATTCCGCGAACTGATTGGAGTTTCACCATCTACTGCTTCCGTGCAGGATAGTGTATTAATCATTATTGATGCGCAGAATGAGTATGTATTTGATTTCAATTTCAATTTTTCATCTATTCCATTTCTCTTCTTTCATATTTGAAATATCCATCCATCTTCCTCTCCCCCACCCACAAAAATCTACTAACCACTCCACTCCACTCCCCCCACAGATACGCCCAAGGCCATCTCAAAGTCTCCCAAGTAACCTCTTCCCGCAAAGTCATCTCCTCCCTCCTCGAAAAATACCGCGCGGCCCATGGCTCCCTCGTCCACATCGTCCACCAAGTACCCGCGGGCGCTCCCGTCTTCACACCCGACACTGAGCTTGCTCAGGAATTCGAGGAGCTAACGCCGCAGAAGGATGAGAAAGTGATTGTGAAGCAACATCCTGGATCCTTTACCGGAACGGATTTGGACGCGTACATCCAGGAGACGGGAAAATCGAAGCTGGTGTTGACGGGATACATGGCGCATGTGTGTGTGAGTACGACGGCGAGACAGGCGGCCGAGAAGGGATATGAGGTTTTGTTTGTGGAGGATGCGATTGGAGATCGAGATATTCCGGGCGTGAAGGCGGAGGAGTTGGTCAAGACGGTTTTGGCGGAGTTGGCGGATGCGTTTGGTACGGTGGTGAAGTCTAGTGAGATCAATTGAGATCGTAGAGTCTAATCTGAATTGATGGTATACTCTGAACAATCTGGCATATCTGAAGTATGTTGCTAGTGAGAGTTCGACTTCGGTTACACCCCCTTTCAAACAGTTGGTTTATTCCGCCAGTATATCTTTGTATCCGAGAAATCATGTCGAAGTTGTGGGAAATTTATGATCTCGCAATCTTTGATCATATCATCTAGATGTTGTTCGAGGGTTTCCGTTTTGGATCTGCGAAATGTCAACATCTGCCAATAAATATATGCCATATAACTTACAACCACAGATTTGAAAAGTTATCCACATCTGTTCCTATGAGAATTGCAGGCCGAGGTCCTTGACTGATAGTTTTATAAACTGGTCCATAGCAATGTATAGCATACACAAGAGTATCCTCTTTGATATAATCAAATGCCAAAGGATCATCCACTACTTTTGCACCCAAAGATGTGAAGAACTCCTTGTCGCCTTCGGTATTTTGAGGGTCTTGAAATATACATTGTATCTTATCCTCACCATACCACCTAAGATGTTATTAGTCCTAGTATCTCCCACCTGCGACTCCCAACACAACTCACCAAACTCCTCGATAATCATCATCAAAGCGGCCAATTGAGTATGACTACTCCTCCTCCCCTCTCTCCTCGCACTCTGCAAACTTCCCAATCCCAAACAAACCACACTATTCACCTTACCCCGCCCATGTAAAATCTTCTTCAACTGACCAGCTGCCTCACTACTCTCCCACTGCTTCCTATAACTTTCCAAATCTGCCTGCATCTCCTCCATCGTGCGCTCAATATACGCAACCCCATCTTTCACAAAATCGCCCGCATGCGTCCAGGTCTCTGCAGCTCCCGTCTTCTTCCCTCCACCCACAACATGGGTCCAGCCCTCTCCATCCTCTATCTGTTTCCTCTTAGTCGACTGCGCAATCTTCTTCGTCTTCTCCGTCTCTTCTCCGGTTTCCCTCGCTCCACTCTTCTTTTTGCGATTCGTATGCGGCATCGCGGGTTTGTCTGTTCCGATCCTATCCTATCCTACCCGTCTCTCTCGCCCCAAGAACCGCAAACCCAACGTAAGCAATCTCGCAGAAACCCCGTATCAAGCAATCAGGTAGGTAAGCTTCAGCCCGTCGGGTATTACCAAGTGTAACCCGCTGCGCAAACGTGCAAGTTTGAAGAAACGCAAACGCCGGGGGTTATCTGTTGACTCGTGGTACAATACAGTCAGCCACGGGAAGAAATACTTTTGGGTTTGAATCGCTGGTTGGGCTCTGTGTTTGAGAATTGGAAATCTTGGCTGGATGACTGCGGAGAGTATGCGTACGTCTTCAGCTGCTACAAAATAATTACGGAATGTGGATTGGGGAGGGGAATTTTGAAGATAGATAATTTTGGAGGGGAAAAATGTGTTGCAGGGTTTATTTTTAGATAATGGGATTATCTACGATGTGATATGAGTCTACCGGGTATCAAATGGAGGGGCAGATCATAGGCAAGTAATCGTACAATCAAAAATATGGCAGATTAGATTAATAAATTGCACCGCCTTTTTTGAAAGCGATATCACAGACTCAATCAAGCCGCTGCTGCCCCCATGATTTTTCATATCTGTTGGGGTCCGTTCACATTTGAGTGAGTTTGTTCTTGGGGTCCCTAGGTAGTAATTAACGTGAGAAGCCGAGGATGAAAGTCGTCATTCCATTCCAATGATCCAATGATAGACAGTCCATACTAGAGACTACCTAAGTATATCTTTCCCAACTTCAGCTTCTTTCCACGCTTCCTCTCACCGATGTGATACCATAAGACATGAGAACGTCTAGAGTCACGATATTCATGGGGTAAGTCCGGATTTTGACATCATCGTGGTATGGGAGCACGACGTTTACATCTATCTCACTAGCATGTCACACCTTACCGGAGCTCCATGCAACGAAAGGGGATACAAGATGCTGGATGCTGATTTGCAAGACGTGGATGGAATAGATGTTTGACCCTTGCAGAATTGGTATACGTATTCTGTGTCTATCTTCGAAATCTTGAATCGAGAGAGAGTAGACTCGGTAGATCAACACAGGATTCCATAAATAAGAGATGGTGATGCAGCCTTCTCTTGGCTATGGCAGTGCAAGTGCATTGAAATTTTGGAGATGATTTGAAGGGAGGAAAAGAGGAAGAGAAACTAGGTACTGCAATGCAAGAGCAGAAACAGAGACGAGGGATTAATCATGATTATCTTTGTGGGAGATTCATAATTTATTTCAAATGAATTGTTTATTATACTGCCTGCGTACCATCAATTTCTATATTCGGATCAGTTCTTCCTGTCAGTTACCATTTGTTGTGTGACTGTAGGTTCGATGCGTTTGATGTAACTGTGATTGCGAGAGTAGTGTGTGATCTGTTTTTTGGTCTGGGGACTCCGGGACAGTGAGGGGTGGTTGAGTTTGGTAGAATTTGTTATTGGGTGGGTTATCAGCACAGCAGACAAGCATTGGAATACATATCCTCGATTGTTTGATTATTCGATTATTCGATCATCTCCTGTTGTCTCTTTGATATCTGTTAAATTCTCCGTACCGGCAAACCTCTCTTATCAACATCTCTCGAGCATGTCTTGTACCTGCTTCCCATATGCACGATATTCCTTCCGGAGTCGAGAGTCCAGATTCCAGATCCATTCGCCTTCCAAATGAAGTCTTTCTATTCGGTCTTTCAATCATCCATACCAAAAGCTACTCACTCTACTCTGTATACCCGATCTAATAATCAATGATCATCGGTAGTTCCACAAACCCTCCAACCAATCTGCATTCCCCAAACCCTCAATTCTATCCGGGCGCTTACATCAAGTCATCTATTAGCCGGAATCCCCCTGTTTTTCACTCACACAACCCATTTCGCCCATCCATCTCATCACCCCACATCCAATCAATGGCCAATGCACCACACCACAACGGTCCATTCTTCCCACATCTGCATACATCCCATCGACAAATCAATATCACCCATCACTCTCAATATTGAAGACTTCCATCCTCACTATCCCAAACAAAGTATAACTCTTTTTCTCTCCCATGTCTCCCATGCATACCCTCCCTCTTCTCTCACCTCCTTCTCCCATCTCATTGGCCATGCACCATAAACGCCCATGGTAATTCGGCATATGCACCTAGCATCGAATCTGCTCGTCAAGCATTGTCAGCGCGAATTAGACAATGCGGACTGTGATTATTCAAATACTCCTCGAGGGTCCAAAGTGTGGTCCGTCCGGGTGATGATTATTTTTTTGCTCTGCCTCATATTAACACCTTCGAAATCTCTTGACGCACGATTTACATTTCTCAAATTCCTTGGAAAAATATCTCTCATCCATCTAGTGATGTTTTGATAATTACTTGAATCGCATTCATACAGATCGAAGAAGGAAAACGAGTTTGATGTTTGATACTTGAATTGAATACCTACCTACCTGCATACCTCCCTCCCAAGCTTAAATATCAACCACAAAATCATATCCGGAGAACATATATACCACGAACCCATTCGATTTCTTCATAACATCTTCAAATTTTATCATTCGAGCCGGTTTTACATATACCCTTTCTCTTTAAAAGACCACCAATATCACAATGTTTACGACGAGTATATTAACACTTTTGGCGATCACGACGAGTGTTTTGGTGCAGGCACACACGGTGATTACATATCCGGGATGGAGAGGTGATAATTTGATTACGAATGAGACGTTTCCTTATGGAATGCAGTGGATGTATCCTTGTGAGTAGACTTTTACTTCATGTATTGGACTTTTGGGATATGAGTTTGGAATCCGGGGTGCGAGGAGGTGTCTCTGGAGAATTGGATTTGAAATGGTTACTTTACTTTCCAAGCTTTCCAAGCTTTCACATATGCATATCCATATGCATATCCATATCCATCTCCATCTTACCTCCGATCCCCTCCAAATCCTCTCTCCAAATCCTCTCTCCCAATCCTCCCTCCCTCCCATCTCTCCCTATCAAGCTCACCCCCTAACACTCTCCAGGCGGCGGCATGCGCACCACCACCAACCGCACTCTCTGGCCCATCCACGGCGGCGCCATCGCCGTCCAACCCGGCTGGTTCCAAGGCCACGCGACCGCTTTCTTCTACTTTAATCTCGGATTCGGCACCGATGGTCCCGACAATGGTCCCCCCAACATGTCTTTCCCCATGACCTCCGTCATGCAAATCATCGGCCCGAGCAAAAATCCCTATCCAGGAACCTTTTGTTTGCCACAGGTGCCCTTGCCCGCGAATACAACAGTCAATGTAGGAGATAATGCGACGATTCAGGTTGTGGAGACGGCGGTTCATGGGGCTGCTTTGTATTCTGTATGTTTGATATTTTTTTTTCTCACACCTCAAATTTCAAAGTATCATTCCCTCATAACCACCCTCATCACCCTCCCCACTTCCCATCACTCCACCCCTCCCCTCCCCAAAAACCCAAACCCAAACCCAAACCCAAACCCAAACCCAAACCCAAACCCAAACCCAAACCCAAACCCAAACCCAAACCCAAACCCAAACCCAAACCCAAACCCAAACCCAAACCCAAACCCAAACCCAAACCCAAACCCAAACCCAAACCCAAACCCAAACCCAAACCCAAACCCCCCAAAAACATACCCCTAACACCCCCACCCCAGTGCGTCGACATAACCTTCGCGCTCCCCGAAGACGTCGCCGAAGTAAACAGCTCCAACTGTTTCAACACCTCCGACATCTCCTTCGCAAACGTCTACACCATCAACGATGCCTCGGCCCCAGGAACCTCCTCCACATCCGCTTCCACATCCGCTTCCACAGCTGCTTCTCCTTCCCGCTCGCTCTGGGCTGCCAGTCTCGCGAGCGTGTTGGGTGTTGCGATGTGGGGGTTCTTGTGAGATGGGAGAGGGGAAATGGGATATGGGAGATGGGAAAAGGGAGATAGAGGAAGATTTTGAAATTCCC